TATAATTCCAGTATTTGGGAGATGGAAGCAAAAGGATCATGCGTTCAAGGCCATCTTGGACTATACAAGACCCTGTCTCAAAAACAAACATTCAAACCTGTAGTCCAAAAGCAAGCTGCCTGGTAACAATGCTTACAGTCCTAATAATTGGGCCCTGATGTGGAGGATTCCAAGTGTGAAGCAAGCTAGGCTACCTTGTCCTATATCCAAGAGTACCTCAGGCTTCTGCTTTTTTGAACCCCAACTACAATTTTATTATTGGTTGGTTTTTGTTTTTTTCTGTTTTGTTGTTTTGAAATAGGCTATTACTCTCTAATCCAAGCTAGCTGAAACTCACTATGTAGTCAAGAATGGCCCCAAACTCATGATAATAGCACTCTTCCTTACTTAACCTACTTCAGCACTGTCATTATGACTTAGCACAATGGTGGTGAACACTCCTGTTTTATGATGTACAGATAACAGTAACAATAACCTTTGGTGAGACAGACACTAGTTTTATAGGGAGAAATAACTGAGGCTTTACATAACTGACCTGTGGCTGCACAGTTCCTAATTGGCTGCTGGTTCAATTATTCCTGCTGTGGAATAAGCCTTCTGTAGACTGTGTGAACATGCATCCCTATGATTGGCTTAATAAACAAGTTGACTGGCCAATAGCTGAACAGGATAAAGTTAGGTGTGAAAGCCAAACTGAGAATAATGGAATGAGGAACAGTGGAGTTAGAAGAGTCACCAGACAGATAGAGAACACACAAAATGGGATAGAGGTAAAAGCCACAAGCCTCGGGGCAACACACAGAGTAATAGAAAATGGGTTAAGCTGCAAAAGCTAGTTAATAACAAGTAACATGAAAACTCCACCTACAAGCATCCTACACAACAATTCAAATATCGTGTGAGAAAAAATAAGTACCTGGCAAGGACGAGATGCAGAAGTTAAAAATGTACATCTCCTGCTGACCAGTGTCTCTCCTGATTCCAAACTAGTCTTTTAACTACCTGTGACTGAACTCTTTTACCTAGGTCAAAACTAAAGATATTAAATAGTGCTAACTAATACAAGAACATCATCTAATTGCTTTGAAAAGGAAACTGACTAATCCATTACCAATGATTATTCAAATGACCCTAAATACATCAGGGATGTGGACTTGAGCTGATATTCTGTTATTAAAATGAACATATGAATAGTTTGTTCAGTGACTAGAATTTTATCTGTGACACTGGGACACCAGATTAACCATGGAACATTTAACTTACATTCACAACACAAAACAGAGAAAATGCCAAAACTAAATTGACAATCATGACTTCTATTAATTTTTTATAATGATACTATAATGCTTACATCCATGTAATAGATTCCTACTATAAATCATAACGCTTGATTTCATTTATTACTCACATAATAGTCTACATTTTCATATCTAAGGAAAATGGGTTTGAAAGAGACATTTCCACAAGAAAATGTCATGGAAGCTATTAAATAATGGTAATTGTATCCTAAAGTAAAGACTATCATAATTTGTGGCCCAATTTGCACATATATTCTGTGTATTTTAACTTATAGAAATTTTATATATATATACATACCCCAAATTATATATATATGTGTATACACATATACAAAATTATGTGTGCACATGCATACATACAAAATTATATGCATATATACAAAAATGTTAACAGCAGCAAATCATTTAAAACAGCACCCTAAACATTTAGTAAGAGTAGGTTGTGATATACTTTATAGAATACTAAATAATGGGGGGAAAAAAGTAATGAACCAGAGGCTCATGCTTAGCAAGCACAAAGTTCATGAAATGTTTAAGTTAAATAAAAAATTATAAATGATTGTCTGCAATGCAATTAATTCTAAAGTAGGTATGTTTTTAAACTAATTACTAATTAACAAATTAAGTACACAAAGAAATAACACAGAAATGCCAAACGACAAATTTAGAACAGCTTTGAGAGGAAGGGGGAAAGCAGCAGAGCTGAAGCCCCTGGTGTTACCCTCCTCACACTCTTTCAGCATGTTTTATTTCTTAAAAACAATGGTGGTAGATACACAGCAATCATGATATCTTAAACAAACAATCTAAAATTTACAGTGAGCTCTCCATACCTCCATACAGTGGCTCCACATTCAGAATTTCCACCAACTACAAATGGAAAATACTGAGGGAAAAACTGCATTTGAATTGAACATGCAGTCTTTTTTGTTGGCATTCCCCCAAACAACATATAGTACAATGATGAGGGCTTATATGAGATGAGATCCATCTCATATGTATGTGTGATATAGAAATACATATGTGTGTTATATTCAAATACTGTACCATTTTATAACAGGGATTTCTTCTTTCTTACAGATTTGGATTTTTTTTTTTTTCAAACAGAATCTTACTCTAGCCCAAGTTAACCCAAATCTATTCTATAGCCCACACTAGCCTTAAACTCATACTGATTCTCCTGGGTTATGGGCCCAGTCCCTCTGAGGGGTTTGGTTTTATTTTGTTTTATAATCCAGAGGTTCTGGAACAAATTCCCCACAGACATTAAGATATGACTATACCTGAACATGAACATGCAAATATTACCCACGATAGAACTGCTGGGTTTTCTGTAGATCAAAGAAAAACATTAACAATTCTACATGAGTCAACATACTGATAAGAAATCTCTATGTTAAGAATTACATGGGCTAGAGGGACGGCTCTGACGGAGCACTGGCTCCCCTTCTAGAGGATCCAAGTTTGATTCCCAGCACCCACAAGGTAGTTCACAAACATCTGTAACATCAGTTTCAGACAATCTGATGCCATTTTTGGCACCAGGCATTCAAGTAGTGCACAGACATACATGTAGGAGAACACCCATACAGATAAAAATAAATTTAAAAATAAATAAATAAATAAATAACATGTGGGCTAGAGAGGTGGCTCCAAGGTTAAAAGAACACTTGCTGCTCTACTGGTCTTGCAGAGGACACAAGTGGGTCTCCTAACACCTACACAATGGCTGACAAGCACCACAAGTTCCAGTTCCAGGCAATGACAACCTATTCTGCCCTCCATGGATACTTCACATGGTATACATGCAGACAAGCAGGCCTTCGTGTATAATCTCTCTCTCTCTCTCTCTCTCTCTCTCTCTCTCTCTCTCTCTCTCTCTCTCTTTTTTGTTTTTTTTAGAAAAATAACAACATGCTGGGAATTGTTTTTTGTTTTGTTTTTGGAGACAGGGTTTCTCTGTGTAGCTTTTTGGAGCCTGTTCTGGAACTCACTTTGTAGACCAGGCTGGCTTCAAACTCAGAGATGTGCCTACCTCTGCCTCCTGAGTGCTAGGATTAAAGGCATGTGCCACCAATGTCCAGTCGGAATTGTTCATTTTTTTTTAAAGATTTTATTTATTTATTATGTATACAGTCTTCTGCCTGCATGCCAGCAGAGGGCACCAGATCTCATAACAGATGGTTGTGAGCCACCATGTGGTTGCTGGGAATTGAACTCAGGACCTCTGGAAGAACAGTCAGTGTTCTTAACCACTGAGCCATCTCTCCAGCCCCAGAATTGTTCATTTTTATCCCCAAGAATTTACTAGTAAGTGGTCTGTATGTAATTACATGGTCAGGGAAACAGGAAAATAAAATTGAGATGGATAGATTACTTCTTCAGCCATGAACAAGAATCAAACAAAAACAAAAACAAAACACACACACATCTAGTAATAAAACAAACTAAATCACAGAGCTTGGAAACATGTTACCCAAATTGTGATCTGTGGTCAGTATTGTCTTTAATTTTAAAGTATTATTATTTCTTCTCAAAGTACTGATATAGAATCCTAATAAATCCTTTAAAGATTCTTGTTAGGAGAGTATTTATACACATAAAAATAAAAATCAAAAATAAAAGCAACTGATCCAAGATCAAAACTAAATCCAATTTCCAAATCAGACACAATCAGACGGTCAGTAAGTTATTCTTCTCCACTGATAGAAAGAATGCAGGACAGCCACCACGGGCACTGTGTTTTAATGTAGAAAAACAAATTACACTATAAAACTTCACATAAAAGTAATACTTGGGCCATTGATTAAACTGCCAGACCAGTACATTAAACCCATGAACATAATCCTTTGAAAGCAACAAAGAAAACATATACTGCATAAGAAGGGTTGTTTAAGTTTCTTCCCCTTTATCATAAACTTAAGTACTAATCGTTTAAAAAAAAAATTAGAAAGAATATTTGAGGAAGAAATTGAAGGAAAGCTGGAGGCATGGTAAGAAGCTTCCAACAAGCAGCTAGGTTCTAAGTATCACTGTAAGCATGTCAGAGACTAAAATAATGGAACACAAAAAAGGAGATTCTCTCTGAAATGATGTAGGCAGGGGAAAGAAATGATTAGAAAAGGTGAGGGAGAGCTTACTGGGGAGGAATTAACAGGAAGAGACCACAGAGGAAACGAGGATACACTGCAGATGGAAGGAAGCACAGGCAGGCAGGGAGCAGCCATAGCCCTCCTGAAGCTGCATGGCGGCTATCCAGAGTCACCACAGGGAAAGAACTAGTCAAAGAGCATGAGGACATCTTGGTTGCTTTTTTTTTTTTTTTTTTTTTTTCCATAGACGCATTTTAACCCAAGAGTATGCCTCCTGGAACTTGATGCCTACACATTCATATATTTTTATTTGCTTCCTTCTAATTAAGAAGTAAAATGATATGCTACTCAAATCTTTTGTTATACAGGGCAGCCTGGATAGTCACAATCATTCAATGACAGAAAGCTGTGCATGGCTTACTCTCCTCAGCAGGGCCTACTACCAGAAGAAATGGTTGGCGGGACTCATGCATATTATGTCATTAGAAAAAGGGGTAGGGGAGACCAACCTGCCTCTAGA